GGGGTCTTTGGAGGTCACTGGCGATGAGGGTGTAGTGGAGGTGCTTGCCACATGTCCTTTTCCTTTGTCTGCTGCCGTTTGCCTCTCCTCCTTCCAGACCCGCCACTCCCCCCGCCGACGCCGCTACCACCGCCCGCCATAGTGTCGTGTAAGTAGAGGATGCAAGGATCAACAGCGAGGGAAAAAAGAGAGTAAAAATATCGGAAGAAGAAGAAGAAGAAGAAAAAGGAGAAAAAGAAGGAGAAGAAGAAGGAGAAGAAGAAGGAGAAATAGAAGGAGAAATAGAAGAAGAAGAAGAAGAAGAAGAAGAAGAAGAAGAAGAAGAAGGGAAGAAGAAGAAGAAGGGTAGAAGAAGAAGAAGAAGCTGCTGTCTGCCGATACAATATGGGCAGGGAAAAAAAAAGTGAACCGGAGATAGCGCCCAGTACGATATGGCGAGCGGTACAATATGGCTGGCAGATATGCGGCGGTAAGATATGGAGGAGGACGAGGGAAGAAGAAGACGAGGAGGAGGAGGAAGACAAAGACGAGGGGAGGAGGAGAGGAGGAAAAAAAATGGAGACTTGAAAAACGACACAGACGAAAGGAGGAGGAGGAGGAGGAGGAAGAAGAAGATCAAGAAAGGAGGAGGAGGTGACAAAGAAGAAGAAGAAGAAGAGAGGAGGGGGAGGAGGAGGGGAGGAAGGAGGAGGATAAAAAAGATAGATACTTGAAAAGCGAACAGACGAAAGGAGGAGGAGACAGAAGGAGGAGGAGGAGGAGGAGGAGGAGGAGGAGGAGAGAAGAACAAGACAAAAGGAGGAGGCGGAGGAGGAGCAGGAGGTGAAGGAGGACCTACTGGTAGTGTATGTGGATGACAGAAAAAAAAAGACAACGATTAGGAGGCCGAGGAGGAGGAGGAGAGAAGGAGAAGAATAAGTAGCTGGAGGAGGAGGATGAGAGAAGGAGAAGAATAAGTAGGTGGAGGAGGAGGAGGAGAGAAGAAGAAGAGGAGGAGGAGGAGGAGGGGGAGAGAAGGACAAGACGAAAGGAGGAGGAGGACGAGGAGGAGAGAAGAAGAAGAAGACGACAGGAGGAGGAGGAGGAGCAGGGCGAGGAGGAGGACTATGTGGATGACGAGAAAAAAAAAGACGACGATGAAGCAGGTTGAGGAGGAGGAGGAGGAGAAGGAGAATAAGTAGGTGGATGAGGAGGAGAGAAGAAGAAGAAGACGAGAGGACGAGGAGGAGGAGGAGAGATGGACAAGATGAAAGGAGGAGGAGGAGGAGGAGAGGAGAACAAGAAGACGAGAGGAGGAGGAGGAGCAAAAGGAGGAGGACCTGCCGGTAGTGTATGTGGATGACGAACAAAAAAAAAGACGACGATGAAGGAGGTCAAAGAGGAGGGGGAGGAGGAGGAGAGAAGGAGAAGAACAAGTAGGTGCAGGTGGAGGAGAGAAGAAGAAGAAGACGAGAGGAGGAGGAGGAGGAGAGAAGGAAAAGACAAGAGGAGGAGGAGGAGGAGGAGGAGGAGGAGGAGCAGGAGGAGGAGAGAAGAAGAAAAAGTGAGGGGGAGGAGGAGAGGAGTAGACGAATGGAGGAGGAGGAGGAGAGAAGAAGAAGAAGTCGAGAGGAGGAAGAGGAGGACAAGACGAAAGGAGGAGGAGGAGGAGGAGAGAAGGAGAAGAAAAAAATAGGTGGAGGAGGAGGAGGAGAAGAAGAAGAAGACGAGAGTAGTAGTAGTAGTAGTAGTAGGAGGAGGAGGAGGAGGAGGAGAGAAGGAGAAGAAAAAAATAGGTGGAGGAGGAGGAGAAGAAGAAGAAGACGAGAGGAGGA